TGAAACCCAAGGCTCCTTGGGTTAAGCTAAACACTGATGGCGCTTTCGACAGACATGCCGGAGCTGCTGGAGGAGGGGGCCTGATTAGGGATCATGGTGGGGCACTCATCTCTGCCTTCCATGGGCCACTACGGGCCTCCTCGAGTTATGATGCAGAGATTCAGGCGCTCCAGATTGGTCTCGAGATTGCTGCCTCGATCTCCTCTCATGTTTGGATAGAGATGGATGTTGCGGCTGTCATCACACTTTTGACATCTGGCCACCAGGGCTCATGGCAGATCCAGCATCCTCTTATGCGTATCAGAGACACCCTTCGCTCGATCCATTACCAGGTCTCTCATATTTTTCGGGAGGGGAACCGACCTGCCGATTTCCTTGCTAGCACGGGGGCATCTATACCCCAGAGACACACCCTCCTTCATGAGGACATTCCCCTCCGGCTTCGGACGCTCATTCGGATGGACCAGTTAGAGTACCCATCCTTCAGATTCGGTCGACTGCCACCTCCTGCCCCTGACTAGATTCGGCCGACCTCTTATGAGGATTCGATTTTAGACTCACATCACATATTTTTGTGACCTTTGTAGTTTTATTTCTTGTTTTGTTTTAAGTTTTTATTTTTCTTTTTATTTTCTATTTTCTCTGCTTTTGTTGTTGCTCCATGTATTTCCGACTTGGATGTAGACCATTGACTTTTTAGCCCTAGCTGGGCCTTATATTCACAGGTCGGGGGTGTAGCCTCAACCCCCCATCCCAATCTGGGATGTTTATAAAAAAAAATAAAAATGACGGAGGTTCTTTATTCCCAGTCCCCCATCTTCTTTCGACTTACATATATTCGACCAAGCTATCAAGTGGACTTTTTTCCGTTCATTCGTCCCACCCCATATGAATGCACGACTTCGTCTATCGAGCCCGTCCGTTACTACCCCCGGAAGCAACATGGTCTGCATGGTATAATTGTTGGTGTTATATACTTAAGCTTTGCTTTAGTGGATATTACACTTGTTAT